CAAGATATAACGTCAGTAATATATCATGCGATGCTACTAATTCCTACAAGATCACAACGTCATTATTATAATTACAGAGTAGAGGATACTATGAAAGCACTATTAATCACTGTTTGTTGGCGAGATAAGCACTTCCTTTGAGAGTGTTTCCTATCACACATGCATATAAAAGATTACATTAGCCCCTTTTTCTTGTTAAAACAACAACATTCGGGTTCAAACTTACTTATGGAATTAAAATTAACAAAATATTTAAACAATATAAACTGTAAAAGGTATTTTTGACAAAATCACATTTATTAATTGGACCCAAACACGCATAAAAACGGCAGGCATACCCGCTTTAAAATTCTGCCCTGAGAAGATCTCTAGACGTGCGGAACTAGGATCCACCGCACGTAGCGGACAACACCTCCCGGCACGTTGTGGCATTAAGAGGCCGCAAAAACAAACCGCACGTGCGGATTTTTTTTGGCAAGATAGTTGAAGCCAACAACATTTTGGCCATTTTCCAGGCACAGTGCGGCAGTGCTCCCGCACGTGCGCTGAGGTTCCCGACACGTGCCGGCCATTAGTGCCACCGCAAGATAAGACGGCGATTCCTGCACTAAAGGTCCGAATAATTATTTATAGCCAAAAAATACAATTAATTCTTCTTCTTATAACATGTTTAAGGCCTCAAAAAATCTAACTTTCACAATTACCAATATACAAGTTATTAAAGCATGCAATTACATGTGAACAAGAATTAAAAATTACACATTTCAATTTTGAGTAAGAATCAATCATGATCCGCACAAACTCAAATTCAACTCCCAGTCACCAGCGAATAAAAATAATATAATTATAATATGTGAATTCCTTATTGTGGAGCTTGGTGGGGTACCTGACGAACAAGGTTTTACTGTGGAGGGAATTGGTAAGTTGTGAACCAAAAAAAACTCCTTTCCGAAGCGTATAGAAGTGCCCTTAGGATCCATGGGGGCCTCATTAATGATATTAGTAAAGACCCGAATATGGTTGGTCCCCTACAAGTCTGTAAGGACGGACTAAATCGGCAATGATAAGCAGTAAATATATTTACTAGCATATTAGTACTATTATTCACTTGAGCTTTGGCTCACCCCTTGTTATGTCTGGTTTCCTGTAGCGGTAACCTAACCAGGAGGTCGATCCTTAGTCTTCGGCGTCGTCATACTGGTTGTCTAGCCATAGGCACATGATACGCAAGCTAATGGGGTCTGTTGGCACTAGCTCTTTGTGAGATTGTTAGTGATGATTAACACTCTTTTGTTTATTGGCTTAAGTTGATTAAATAGATTATGTAACTGGAGGTTTCCTTCTCGTTTATATAAAACCGTGACAACTCTTTCTCGGGGTGGGTTACACGTTTTGTTACTCAGGCTTATGCCGGGTGTCCAATACCAACCTCTTTCAAAATGCTATTTTTGGACTTCTATGTACTTGTTTGAAAAATGTTTTTGATCCTGAGATGAGATTTAGTAGCTCAATGAAATGTCATACTCTCTGGTTTTTCAATTATAGTTTGTATGCTATTCCGGCAGGCCCCTCTATAAGAACCTAGTTATTAAGTGTCAATTTTCTTGTTTTAGGTCATGCCTAACTTTTAAGGGGCAAGTAAGGGGCGTGATCATGTCATCTATTCTACCGTTGCTCCTACGTGTGGATATAAGGATTGCGTGCTGGTCAATGAAATAAGTCTACTCAACACAATTTGGCGCGCCTGTGGGAAGAAAGAAGTATATAGATTGGCCAATGAACCAGATAAGAAGGAATTAGATGCCAATGAAGACAGTAAGATCAGATTGGGACACAATCACTCCTGCTGGGAGTGGGGAACCTATTTCACCCTCGACGTTGAAGGGGACGACCGCAACACAAACTCGGTGACCCAGCTAGTCACGGAATGAAAGCGCCGCCAGAAAGGTGAATGCACCAAAGACAACAGACTCGAAGGTCGGATACTAACAACGAAGATGACGCTCCAGGTATGTGAAGGATAGATACCTGCGGAGGAAACGAATGACCCTTCCAGATTAGGGCAAGTGGCTAAAGACAGGGGCATGAAGGCGCTCCCAAGGAGATAAATTCAAGTATAGAAGACTCATCTCTAAGTGGATGCTCCAGATCCGGCATTTTCACAGAATCCTGGATTTCCCGGATCCTAGCAGGCATTGACTCTCGCTAGAAATGCATAGGTTCGAGAAGAGAAGAGCTCAACTTTAAGTGAGCCAGCATCCAGATTTTCTAGCAGACAAGATCTCGACCTTAGTTCCGAGAAGAGAAGCGCTCAGTGAGCAGATTCTCAGATCCAGATAGATAAAGAAGATACCACATAGGCTTGGACTTGCACGTTAAGTTCGAAGGTTTAAAGACTTTTCATATAGGTTCCAATAGGTAGTTATGTGGAAAGCCATGTAGGGGCGCAGGAGAAGAAGAATATGTTTTACCACTATGTTTGAAATTTGTGGACAATTAACAAGTTTAATGTATTCCGAACATGATTGATTTAACCTGTGTTGAAAATCTTGTTGGACATATGTTACAAATTGGAAGTAGCGAAATCATTGCTTAACACTGTTTGAAATTTGTCTTTTTTGATCTTTTTATCTAGTTATAGTAAACCGAAAATCATTGCTTAATCACTTGTTGTATAATTGGGATCAATTATCAAGTTGAGTTAAGCCTAATGTCATCTGTTTATACAGCTTGTGAAATTCTGTGACAATTTATCAAGGTTAACGTTAGAAGCCCGAAATCATTGCTTAAGCACTTGTTGGACTTCTGTGTGAATTTAGCAGTTTTGAAGTTAAACCGATTGTGATATTTTTTAACTTACTTGTTGAAATTCTGTGTGATTTTACAAGTTGAAATTAAAACCGAATGTGACTTTATTTCAACACTTGTTGAAATTACTGTGTGAATTTGCAAGTTGAGGTTAAATCGCGATTGGTCGCTATCGGAAGTAGAATTGGTTTAAAACACTTGTTTTGAAATTTCTGTGTGATTTACAAGTTATAGTTAAATTCGAGTGTCGTCATCGAAAGGTTAAGTATGATTTAACATTGTATGAAATTTGAGAAAAAATTTACAATCGCTGAAGTTAAGCCTGAGTTTATGAATAA